CGCGTTTGAGACATATTTTCTTTTTCAAATTCTCTTTTCCGATTACCCATCAGACCATTTCCAATGATTTCATCTTTTATATCACATAATTCTCTATTTTCTATTTCAACGTTCTGAACTTCAACCATTTCATCTCGTTTAATTTCATTTGAAAAGATACCCCAAAAATTATTTAATAGACCAATCTTAACAATCCATTCCCACCCCATAATCGTATCCACTTTTTTATCAACAATCCACAAATTTAAATAATTAACTATACCATTTATCACAAACGGTACTTCAATTTTTCCTAAAACCTTTATTTCCGATCCGTCAAACTGTTTAACTCTCATCTCTTCTTTAATTATATTCTCCTCTGGCCAATATTCACAAAAATTTTCATAACCTACAATCGATATCGCAGCACATGTATCCAATAGCATAGATATTTTTCTACTTCCACACGAGGACATTTATCCTTCTCACTTTTGTCCTCTAATTTTGGAATTCTATAATTTTTTGTAATTTCACCATTTACCAGATTTACATTTCTTTTATCTACTAAATCTCTTTTAACTTCTACATCTCCACTCACACGAAATTTCATTTCATTCTTTAATGTAATACCCTCCATTTTATTACCTTCGCTATCATTTAGTCACCTCTCTCGACATTCTATAGCACTATGTCCTTTCTTTCTGCACTTAAAACACATAATTTCATCTTTACCTTCTTTCAAAATATCACTATTTTGTATCACTCTTACATTAGATGCCGGTGCTAAGTATTTCACTGCCGGTAATGCTTCCCCATTTATCGGTTCTCTCACATAACAATTCTCTTTAGCATGTCCCATTTTTCCACATCTTTCACATTGAAATGTTCTTTGATTATTTCCCATAATACGATACGTCGGAACATAACATTTTTCACTACTATGTCCAACTCCTCCACATCTATTACATTTAATCGGTTGCTTGTTAAACATTGCACCGTTCTGAACACAATTTCTACTTATATGCCCAAATTCTCCACATGAATAACATCTTACATTTTGCATATTAATCTTTGGACGATTAAATCTATTTCGGAAAAAATTTTCTTTTTCCCAATTTTCCTTTTCATTTCTCTGCAAGTTCATTGACGTATTTCGTATTCCTTATCATTTCTTCGATCATCTCTTTTGAAATCCCTTTCATCATACCTTCTCTCACAATTTCCTCCATGACTATAATTATTTCGTTTATTATATCTCATTCCATTTTCATCTTTAATCTCTATTTCTCTTTTATTATCAATATCTTTTCGTTCCTCTCCCGATCTAATAATATTGATACTTTTCCTCTCTATCATATTTTCAATTAACTTTTTCCATATTTCATCCTTTAAATTTAACATCTATTCCTTAATTCTTACATTTTCATTAACGTTTTAAACTTCCCTGTCATTTTTTTATTTTTCAATTTCATTATTTTTCATTTCAATTTCCTCCATAATTTTTATTCTATCTCTTTCTATAACTCTTTATTTTTTTCCGATGTAACATAATACCAATTATCCATAAACATATCACTACTACCGCTATGATACAATAATTTCTCTGTGGAACCATTTCCACATACTTTTGAGTTTTTATACTTCTTTTACAATTAAACATTTATTCTTTATCCACAAATTTATAAAAAAATTATTAAAACTTTTATTATAAATATTTTAATGCTAAAAGTTAGATAATATATTAAACCTAATATAATTAATAATAAGAAAATTATATAAATGCACATCATTTTATATATTCCAAAAATAGTGACTTTTTCATTGATTTTAATATTCTTGCAATATTTTTTAGGCAATCATTAATAGCCAATTGTAGAGTATGGGCTGCACATCTGAAGCGATATATATTTGTAGAAAAATCTTCTATTATTTCCTGTAAATTAATTTCATGTGTCATCATAATTATCATCATCAGCGTTTATGTCATCCTTCTCTTCCAGTGAACATTTTTTTAATTGATTTTACAAGATTAGCCCATTATCCCTAATAATTATATAAATATTTCTTATAGGAATATGAAATTTATTTAATGTCTCTAATATCAATCTTTTTATATATTTAGAAGTTGCACTCTTAAAATTTTATACTTTTTTAAATATTATTTTTAAAAAATTTTTTTGACACCTAGAACCTTTGGACTCTCCACTTTTAAAAAGGGTCCACGTTCGGGTACAGCCAAAATATGAGGGTTCGGGTTCGCATCCCTGAAGAAAGAGCGTTTTTGAAACATAGTTTATCTTATCGGATAAAACAAATCCCCCCTCCCTCTCAAATACATCTCAGAACTTTACTTATACCCCCATATTCAAGACGATTTTCGGGATCTAACTATCTTATTTGTAATTATAAGTACTAAAAACTCCCTATAAGAATAAAACCCATGTTTTAATTTTAATGGATTTAAACCTAAACAAAAGAGGGAAGTAAAAAAAACTATTTACAATTTTTATGTGTTTAACTAGTCTAAAATAAAATAAAATATTTTTTAAGGAAAAATTTAAAGTAACGAGTAATTTTTTGCGTTACCGTTACTCAAAAAAAAATAAAAGCGTTTCTCATTACCTTTTGAAACAAGTAACGAATGATGGTTCCTTTTTCCCGAAAAAATTGCTGTTAGTAATGACGTTACCTTCATCGACTTTACAGTGTTTTATGTTTATTAGGAAAAACATACCAAAAAGAAGGTACAAATGGTTTTTAATTTGAATTCCGCTTGTATCAAATAGATAAATATTTTTGCTCAAATGATGTATTATATATATATTATATATTCTATATTTAAATCATAATTGAAAAACTAGACATAGATTTGGTATAAAAAATAAATTTTTTATTTTATTTATAGGCAAAATATAGTTAAAAATACAAAGCATAGTCATGTATCAATTTCAAAAAATTTTATTTAAACTTATTTATTTAAATTAACAATATCCAATATAATAATTTTTACTTTGACTTGTTCACTGTCATTTCCCTCTAATTAATAATCTTTGAGAATAAGTTAAAAATTAAAAATAAATGGCGTAATTGAATTTAATTATTTAAAATTTATTAAGAGTCCAATAGGAATCTTTGGGAATAAATTTAAAAATTATATAAATAAATTAAGTTGTTTAGAATTTATTAACACTTCACTTAATTGGATATCTGAAAATATTATAAAATCTCAATTAAATTATTAATATTTTTATTTACAATTATACAAATATCTTATATTTTAAACAATACACAGAACCCGGTTGAACCCGGGTTCAAATAAAATTCCCTGGTTCGGTTCGGGGTTTTGAAAATTTTATAAACGGGGTTCGGTTCGAGTTCAAATTTTTTTCAAAAACCCGGGTTTTCTTCTCCGGGTTCTAGTTCGGTTCGAATCCCTGGTATTTTATATAAAAAGTTTCCAAAAAAGTTATAAAATAAGTTGGAATCTGAAACAAAGGTATTTTTGCCTTCCTGTTCAATCACAAATTTCGGAACTTTCTATCTTTCTGAGACAATAGCTTAATTAGAATCGTATCGATAATTTTTTTACCTCCACATGCAAAATTATAGGAGAAACGATTTTGGTTGTACAGGAACAATCGAAATTGAACCAAAAAAGTCCTAGAGGACCTTATGAAACCTTCAGAGATAAAAAAATTACTTTGTGTTATTAGAATGATGGTCGACTGGTCGCTGTTGTGAGCAAGAATCAAGGAATATATTCTCTAAATAAAGTTAAGCGATGGAGTTCTAAACATAAGGTGTATATTATTATTGATCAACAATATGATTACCTCACAACATATGTGAGGAAATCATTTGTTTGATAGATTTTTGAGTAATTGGCTGCTCAACAAAAAATGATAAGGTAGGAATATGTCTTACCTTCTATTTAAAATATTTATTGTGCGATCTATGATTGAAAATTTACCTGAATAACCATTTCGTTCGGGCCAATTGATTTAATCCGAGAAGTAGTGAAGAGTCATATATAGTGTGGTTAAATGACTCGATTTTAAAAACGGTTAACTCAAGATTTTAGCCAGAAAAATATTGCCAAAGCCTTGAGATTTCGCTAATAGATGTCCAAACCTTTGTGTCACCTATGAGCAAAATCTTCAGGCTTATGTTATTTTTTTTGTATAAAATACTGAGTTATCCGTTTTTAAAAATCGATTCAAATCAAGCCGTTTAACAACACCAGTCATATGTTAATTGAAACTAATCGTCAAGGTCGTTGCAAATGGTGAGGGATGAATACGACATACAATTGTAATAACTGTGATGTACTTATTTATACATTAAATGCTCAAAATTATTTCATAAAAAATGAAGTCTTAACCTCCCAATGTCTGATTTTTGGAACATACAAAAAATCATATTATGTATTTTTTTTAAAATTTTGATATATAAATATGTTGATAATAATGTAATAAAGAAAAATAGAAATATTTTTATATGTTCTTGATACTCTGGTATTATAGCGTTAATATTTAATTCCAAATTGTTAAAAATACATATAATTTTATTGTTATATAAAATATTTTTAATTAAAGAAGCAGAAAGCAAACGATTTTTATGAAGGAAAGTATAAATATAAACTTAAATATTTATGAGACGAGTATTTTTTTTTGAAAAATTTCAAATACCATCAAAAATTAGTTGTATTAGATATCTTAAATTTTTAAAGTTAAATAATGTTATATAATATAATAATATTATGAAAGCATGACAAAAGGCCTTCAGGGTGGTATTTATAAAATTAAAAAAATTAGCACACTTAAGATGCTTGATATAAATTCAACCTTTCTTTTTAACGGGCCGGACCTGATTTTTCGGGAAATTTATTAACTTAAGAGCACGAAAAGACTTGACAATTTAAATGCCAGGCCGGGTAACTTGTGCGAATGATCTCAACGATATTGCAGATCTCTGATTAAAGATATAACAAACACTTTTATTTTCTAAATTTTGTATTTAAGTATTGTTTGGATACCAATTTGAAGTTAGCCATCGAGGACCAAAATAAAAAGGAAAGCTCTGATAAATTTGCCGATTTGCAACAAAGACTAATCGCTTTCGAATTGGAAAAGCAAAAGGCCACTGATATTATACATCGCGAAAATGAGGCAAAGGTTTTATATTTGAATTATTATAAGGAAAATTATAATAGATACCAGGAAAATCAATATTCTTTAAACATTTAATTTTTTGTTTAGATAAATATGATATTAAAGCAAACGGGAAAAATAATTGTTACAAATACAAATGGTTCAAATTCCGACGAGGCTCTGATTAAGAAACTCTCTGAACTTGTAAGAAAATTTTTTTAAAGAAAATTGATAATCCTCAATCAAATATCGTGATAAATCTTAACCAACTCGGTTGGTTTTTATTAATAATAATGGAAAGTGTATATATGGAATAGAATAACCCAAATATGTAATATACATAAGCTAGGTGTCGAACCAAAACGATCTACGTAATAGAAATAGACCATTATAATTTTCCGAACCGTTATAAGAGAATTTTGGCAGGAACTGGTTCATAACGCTTTATTAGATTATACTTATTTATTTTAAATGATTGGCGTAATTTAAAAAAAATGAGTACAAATTTATATTTGGTTATGTTATATTACTTTTGTTATATGCATGTTTTATGATAAAATAAGGAAATTAAACTTATTTTCAAGAAACCTGGAGCGAACCGAACCTATATAATTTTTCTGATAACGATAATTTTTAAATGTTATACACAATATTCTTCATTTATTTATTTTTCTAGTTATATAGTGATTATTTTTTTGTTTTTTTAAAAATTGAAGAAGATGGGTAAGATTTAAATCTTAACTTGATTTTTTTCTAATTTTATTTTAGTTTATTTTTGGTATTTTAATTTTATGTTACAAATAAAATATCTATTAAACTATTTAATTATATCAAATCGAACGCATGCATATTGAGGTTCAAAGGCTTCTGCTTTTAATGACCTTCAAAATATTTATTTAATTGTTGGCCACTCATACCCTTATCAAATATTATATTCAAGTTGTGCCAACAAAATGATATATACTAGGATTAATTTTTTTAAATCCAACATTTATAAAAACCGGAATGAACCGAGTGGATGTATAAGCCGGAACATTTTAAAATTCTAAACTAAGTTAAATGGAACTGATGTATTCGACATTCTGATTTAAAGTAATACACAAATCTTTAAGAGAGGAGAAATTAAAAAATAAATGATATTTGGTGCACCACTGCGTGTGCTATCAAGTTGGCCATTATCGCCAGCCTATTAAAATTATCGAAACCTCGCTGCGGATTTTTAAATATCTATATTAATTGGCAGATGTGTAAAAAAAATACTTTTGCTATCAATACATAATATTTATAATTATAATTTACATTATTAAAATAAAATTTAAATTTTATATAGGCACAAACATTATTTTTTTAATTAAAGCATTCGTTTCGTAAATAAAAATACAAAAGCTACTAGACAGAAGTACTATATGTACATATATGATGCTTGTTAGTGTTGTTAAAAACCTCTATTTCGCCAATTTTTTTAAAAACGGCGAAATCAAGATTTTAGCTTTATTACCTAAGCCTCGAAATTTCTCCAAAAGTCAACAGAAAGGTTTGGCAAAATCTCGAGGCCTAAATAATAGTTGTTTTACTAAAATCTTTGTTTAGCCATTTTTTAAAAATCGGCTCAATCTCGGTTTTTAAAGAAACCACCGTTATTGTATTACTTAAAGATTTGCGGGGGAAGGGGTTATCTTAAATTTTTAAAATAAATTAGAAATTATTGTTTCTCTAAGATATAAATTTTGAAAATTTAATTGATTCAGAAAACGTGTGTTATTTAAAAGCATTTAGAAATCTTAGATTTCGGAGGCGAAAATACCTTTATGAAGCAACGTTTTGAATTTGATAGTTATGAAATTAATATAATATGTGATATAAAAAAACACATAAAATTTTAAAATTAAATGTTCCTACTCGTTAGTATAGTAACTTGATGCTAGAAATCTGACAAAGGAACTAACATAGGTCCAATAAATATCATGGAGGATTTGGTGAAAAATCTATTCTAAATTCCTAAAATTATAAATATTGTTCATTTTTTTATTATCTCGATAAGAATGTACGATAAATTTAGCTAGTGGGGTATGTACATAGCAAACCGCGTGGTTGATTTGTGATAATTCTTATAATAAAAATTATGCATCATAAGCGAACATTTCATTACTAATCTCAATAAAAAAAAGCACCATATTTTGGATAATATTTATTCATAAATTAGTTGCGCTTCTTAGAACCAATTCTGGGTTCCTGCAAATTTTGAAATGAGTTCCGGCTCCCTAAAATTTTAAGACAGAATTTCCAATTTCAATTTCGTGGATCTAAAGGGTTGGTTTTCTATCTGCCTCATAATTTTATTATTAAATAAAAATAATCCGTTTTTTATGGCAATAAACTCAAAAATATATAAAAATTAATTTAAATGTAAACCATTAAAATATTATATAAAATCCACCACGTAAAATAAAAAATTTCTCAAAAGAATGCCTATCTACTACATATTCATCTTTACTAATAATGCGTCTAAAGCTTTTTTATGAGAGAATTTTATGCTGGCTTGAAAAAATCTAATAAATAATTAAAATAAAAGATCGAAATTTATCGATGTTTGAAAAATAGAACTTTATAAAATGTGATGTGAATGATTTACTAATTGTATATTTGATATTATCTGAAGATACGACTAAATGTAGAAAAATGCATAGATTTTTAGAAAACCGGTATATATGATATTATTTATATTATATATATATTAATTCTAAAGATCGAGGCCTTTTTAAAATATTTGATAGTATTCCTTCTTATCCTGATAAATTTCATCAGATGTTCAACATGCATGTGGAAACATTCAATTGCATTTTTATAAATTTGGAGTCTATAGACACCACTATAGTTAAACATAAAAACTATCAGTATGAAGCATCGGCTCTATATAACACTCATGTATGATGATTATTTTTTTATATAAAGATTCAGAATATATTTATAGATATCTGGAGCTTTAGAAAAATAGCATTATATGCAAAGATTGGCCAGGAAATCAGGTTTTCCTCACATAATAGATACTATTGACGGAAAGCATGTAAAAATAAAACAACCTACAAATAGTGGATCCACTTGATATTGAGGGCAATCAATTTACACAAATTAATTATGAAGAATACCCTATTCCAAATTTTACCCAATAGTTCCAGCGATGGACTGAAACCTTAATATTAGAGAAACATTTAACACATTTATATTAAACCATATGTGTAAAATTTTTATATACATTTATTCTTTAATTACCATTACCTTATATTTATGAATGTTTAAATTTGTCAAAGTTAGAAGCATTTATTATAAATATCCAATAAAAAGTTTTGTTTTGATTATATTGTATAAGTGAGGTTCACATTTTATAATAAATCATTAAACATAATAATTTTTATTATAAAAAATGATATATATAAAGTTAAAAGTTGGAAAATTTCATTTTTAATTCAAAAATTTGCTTCTGTGATCTTTTCAGCTTCATATTTCTTGGCTTTTTTAGAATTAGGAGTTTCTAAATTTTTCCTTTTTGAGGTATAAGGATTGATATTTTCTTTATTTAGAGAATTATCTAACTATTATTAAATTAATAATATATTATAAATATTTAACTTCTAAAATTTCATTCTCAGAAATATCTATTTCTATAGAACAGGATTTATAATAGTATTTAACAAATCTTATGTGTTTGGCTCAGAATTCTAAAATATGGATTATTATATAGTTCTAATCTCATGTTATAACACTTGTGGTGATATTTGTATATTAATAGCATCCTTAGATTGTTTCAAAATGAAACTTGCTTCAGAATGTTTGCTTACATATATCCTCCACATTTTCTTTTAGCCAGTAATAGTCTTCAACAAATTTCAGGTGCTTGCTGTTCATCATAGCAGCACATAGCATAGAATTGTTGAAATTGGACTTAATTGCAACAAACTTTTTCTTTATATGTTCATAATTTAGATCATACATCTTCCAATTTTGTTTTACTTGCCGCTGTGTCTATATTTGAGGTTGTTATTGCACCTCAAATATCTATAAGGTCTAATATTTTCCATCAATTGATAATCGTTCGCCATATTTTCACACAAATCGCAAAGTTTAATGATAAAAATATTAAAGATTTATGAATCTTAAAATTTTTACTAGTGTTGTTAAAACGCCGCGAGTCGCGACCCCGACTCAAAGTTCGGGTCGTTTTTTTCGACTCCGACTCAATGTTTGGGTCGTTTTTTTCGACTCGACCCAAGTCCAAGCCGAAAAAAACGACTTCGACCCAAAATATGGGTCGTATTTTTTGACTCCGACTCGAAGTTTGGGTCGTATTTTTCGACTCAGACTCAAAGTTTGGTTTGTTTTTGCGACTAAGACTCAAAGTTTGGTTTGTTTTTGCGACTCAGACTCAAAGTTTGGTTTGTTTTTGCGACTAAGACTCAAAGTTTGGTTTGTTATGCGACTCAGACTCAAACATCGGGTCACTTTTTACCACTTCAACCAAAGTTGTGGTGGTTTTATTCAATCCGACCCAAAATATGGGTCGTTTTTTTAAAAGACGACCTAAGGTTTGGGTTGCTTTTTTCACCTGACCTGACCCATATCTACATTTTTTTCGTCCAAAAGGCTTCTAAGTGTTGATTCCAACTCCAATAAATATATAAATATAAATAATATTTATTAGATATTAATATAAATGGGCGGGAAAAGTTACTTAAAGCTTCTATAAATCTAATCAATGGAGAATGGCAATTGTCATCGTTATTTTTTAAAATTTTTTTGATATAAATTAGTAAAAATATAAATTGTGAACATGTTAAATTAAAATTTCAGTGAAGATCTACCATAGAAAAATGACAATTGTCATAATCTTTATTTTTGAACTTTTTCGAATTTTTTTAAAGCAAATATTTAAAAATATATATTGTAAACATGTTAAATTAAATTTTCAATGAAGATGACCCATAAAAAAATGACAATTGTTATAATTGTTATTTTTGAACTTTTGAATTTTTTTAAAGCAAATTTGTAAAAATATATGTTGTAAATCTGATTATAATTTCAGTGAAGATGTACCATAGAAAAGTGACAATTGTCATAATCTATATTTTTGAACTTTTTCGAATTTTTTTAAAGCAAATATGTAAAAATATATATTGTAAACATGTTAAATTAAATTTCCAATGAAGATG